GTGTGTGGGTCTTGGTATGGGTGTGGGTGTGGGTGTGCGTGTGGGTGTGGGTGTGAAGGGTGGAAGGACTGTGGAGGTGTGGGTGTAGATGGGGGTGTGGGGGTGTGGTGGGTGGTGGGGGGGGGGGGGGGGGCGGGGCTTCTATTGTGTCGGAGGGTTTACATGATATGCTCTAGAGTCACACTAAAATTCAAATCAAACGTACCTATGAGTAAGAGATCTTGTTTTCTTTCTGGTGAAATATATACCGATTCTGTACATAGTTTATATAAAATACATTTACTGTTTGTTTCCAGTTATAATGGAACGTTTTCAAAAAAACTAGCTCTATCCCTTAGGTTCTTCTTCAGCTGTACCTATCATAAAATAAATTGGATCCAAAAGTGAATTCTAGAGGGACAGCAGCAATATTGCAAAAAGGTGTAAGTTTTTTTTATTCTCCTGTAATTTGATGCAATCATATCAAATATAAAATTGAGGAACACGCTGCCCCAGTTTATGAATTCAATATTGATATATAGAGTCTTTGTTTTTACTTTTTCCTCATCGATATTTTCATAATTGTATTTCAAAAAGTATCGAAATAGACTGAAGCAGCTTGAGATATGTTTGATTTTGGTACACTACAATTCCAAGTTACACAAACAAACGCTTAACACTTCCATGAATGTATCCTTTTACTGAGTTTAAGAAATATAAGCCAAATACGCTAACAGTATGTCAGCACTTTTTTTTCGAAGGCAGACATTGCCTCAATACGTGAGACTGTGAGCGAAGAAAATGCACATGTTCACACCTATTTTATTCGAAGGAAAGAATGTATTCTATTCGTGATGTTTCTTCATCTTCTGATAAATCTTCGCGGCTATACTTGGGTTTTACAACTGTGTTTGGCATTGTGTGTCAATGCAAAATACCTGTCGATTCGTTGATGGGAAATGCACGACAAATTATTTGTAGTGCACAGAAAAGCGAAAAAAAACAATGATTCGTTGACGGTGAGGCAGAGAACGTCTTATTGATAGGGACAGATAAGGGCAGACTTGACAATCTACCTAATTTGAATAGTGCACGAAAGTGTATAAGTACAATATGAGTTTAATTATGAAAGCACTGACTTAATACAGCATTGCTATAGTTAACTATCGATATTGAATAATGGAAGACTAATTTATTACTTCTAGTACAGAAAAACCCGGCCAAGTATGAAGATATACGAAGAAGTATGTAGAAAAATATAGGAATACGGAAAGTGCACAGAGATACAGCAGCTGTATTGGTGCTCAGTTTTTCGTCTTACCGTCTGTTTCTCTCAGAAACGAAATTAATCCGTGTTGTGTTCTTCTCCGTTCTAGATCCACTTATTTTTGAAGCCTTTTTTGTCAAAAACCGTTGTCTACCATTCACCTGGTATATGACGTCTTTTACGGATTGTTGGAGAATCTCATTTAAGTCCATGTATAGGACATATTGAAGATAATTATAGAGATTCAAGTGATATAGATGTTTATTTATTCAGCATATCCAAAGTAGATATTGTAATGTTGTATGTACAGAATCAATACATATATATATATAAAGACAAAAGACATCTTAGTAGTTGGGGGTACCAAAGAACCACAAAATATCCAAGCTTATCTCAACTAATATAATTTACTTGTGTTACACCCAAGCTATTAGTTTATATATTTTAGAGACTCTACTGTCATGTTCATATCATCCGAATTCGCAATAAGATCGAGTAGAAACTCAATTTTCGAAAGAGATCGATCTTACGTCTTAAATTACTTTTAGCTTGAGTGAAGTATCTTGACAGCCGCTTTATTTTTTAATTACGGTTTTTAATAATACATGCTTCATAACCAAGCAAAGTACTATCTCCAAGAATGGGAAAATATCTATCTGTCCCACAATTTATTCCATTGTACGTTGAAGGAAGAACATGCTGAACTAGTTTATTGGTAACAGAACAGATTTTAAGCTTTTGTTCAATCAACACAAATTATGGGCTATCACTTTTATTGTGGTGTTGAAAATCCATTATGTACCTATATGTAGAGCATCTTGACTTCGAAGACGCATGGTTAATTAAGATAGTTTTCTACGGAAAATATTATCATAGGATGGGTCTCAACGTAACAATCTCAAAGAATGCATTCGATAGATGTTCTAAATAGCAATGAGAAATGTTTGGTTGTATGAAAGTTGACAGAGAATCTGCTAGAGCGTAGTTTTTTTAATTAACGAAAAATTGAAAGTTTCTATTTTAGACAGATGGGATAGCTAAAGTTGCTAGTTTTACTCATTTTCTTTCAAATGAAAACTTGAAATTATTGTAGAAGTTAGTCATAAATTGGATCCTCAACAATGGGAAACAGTCGATGTGGATAACTATCGCTTTTCATGTAACGGTCAACACAAGTTCACGGCTTATGCTGACACTTGCAGAATCTCAAATGGCATTTCTAAGAGCTTTTGGAGAAGGTTTTGCTTGGGAATTAATTGAATTGTATTCGGGTCCACCACATGTTACTTTTAAATGGCGTCATTTTGGTCGAATGACCGGCTGCTTTTCATGTCCATCTTTTTCAGGTTATACCTACAAAGTAAATCCTTCGAATAAAATGGTAAATATATATGGGATGTGCAAGGTTACAATGGCATCAGATTTCAAGATCCAAGATTTACAAGCCTTCTTTGATATCAATCAATTGTTTGCTCAATTTACAGAACTGTGTCCATTAGCCCCATTTGCTAATATACCAAGTTTGGTGAGCTCATCAACAGGAAAAACAATGAATGAATCAGCAGTCAACAACAGAAGTGCATCTATCAGTAAACCAAATCCAGCTATGAACCATGGAAATTCGCAAATAAATCAGCATTCAGCAATATGTACGATCATTTGACTGTTCAACTTAATATTCATATTAAACAATTTTTCCTCTACTAATTCAACCTGTGCACCCTAGAAAAACTATGCTTATCAGAAAAACAATGCATGAAAAATAAAATTCTCTTCGGTACTAGACTTGTTTTACTCATTTTTATTTTCTACAAAGATTTTCGTTCCGCTCATGCAAGTTTTGCCGATGAATTGACGATGAGAGGGGTTCGCTCAATTGTTGTTATTATCGATTCCGAAGCTTTTCTCTACAAAACGAGAAACAATAGGCAATCATTGAATCATCGGTTTTTGTTTTCTGAAGATACACAGATAAGCAAGGTTGTTTACACTTTTTGCATAAGACAAACTAGATAAAGAGCGAACAAAAAGCGACAACTCATTAGGATTGTTCGAAGATATTTGAACTAAAATGAAATGAAACTCTTTGTTTTCTTTCGGCGTTTTTCATGATTAATATAAAAGGGATATTCAGGCAACGAGTCACGGCATTTGAAAAGATCGAAAGAAGCATCAAACGTGGCTGTGTTCAAAGAATACAATACAAGTCTTGAGAACTTTCGTATATTTTGGTTCGAGATTGCAGTGATTTTCTAGGGTTGTCGGTCTTGAGATATAGAATGATATGAATCTTTACTTGTCTAGTAGCTATAGTTCTCAAAATTTCAGCGCAGACTAGATTATAGATAAGCAGTTTGTGATATAATTTTCAAATAAAAAGATTGAGTCTAGTCTGAAATTCGAGTCAAAAACTGGTGAGTTTGCGATATGTTAGTTCCATGTGTAGACAGAGAATAATTCATAACTTAGCAAAGGCAAGTCCATTTATCATGAAAATTTTACTGTAGAAAGAAAAAGAGTCGGCTTTTCCAATAGTGAATCGAACAGAGCTTATTAAGTTCTTCTTATGATAGAAGTTTTAAGGTAAACAACCCTTATATCGATGGGTCTTGTCTAGCTGTGGGACTTTTGTCCACGACTGTAAATTATATTTTTCTATCATGATAATTCATTTTCATCCATAACTAAGCATATTCAATCGATTAAAGTCATTTTTCGATTTGAAGTTGACGTTAACCTAATTTGAACAACATTAGTTTTAACAAAAAGATAATATTACAGTGAAACGTAATGCATGATGTTCACTAAAAATTGACATGTATCATTTCTGAATGAAGGTTGAAAATGAGTGTGAGAGTGATTAAATTGAAAACACACACACTCATACCATCGAAAATTCAAGATTTGATATATGTTCTCATAGACATTTGATCATCATGATCGGGAAGGTAATCAATAATCATGTTAGCACTCTCAAAGAAAGCTGTTTGCACGTTTTGTTTGAAATAAAAAAATTTTTCTCTCATTTTCATTGAAAATCTTCAGCGTTGTAATGATCAAAAACATGAAGTTCTAAGCGTGTTCAGAAATGAAAATTTTTGAATGAGTGTAAACGTAGAAAAAAAATGATGATTTAATAATATTTAAACGTACGATCATTTATGGCGATATACATCCAGCAACTTCACATTCTATAAACAAAAATTATGCGTAGATAGTGATAAACGATATTTACCAATCAGCTACTGTTCATACTTTTCTGTACTATAGTCATATTACTCATTACCATGGTGTTGCATGAGGTGTCCATTGCATCAATTAATAAAATATATGATTTCATATTTTATTCATGTCTATTGAGTTTTTGATAATACTAGCATGTTTGGGATATTTAATTCACCTCATCTCATTATATCTAATATTTCTTTAATTTGTGTGTTTTTGTATTAAAACTCACGTAGATAGAATTTTTCACCTGCGTATAATAATCAAAGTGTCTTATTTAGTTTTCTCTTAGACTAATGTTCATGCTAATGAGCCATAGGAGAGCAGAGAAAGAAAAAAAAACTGCAAAGGCAACACTCTTACGTATGATTTTAAATTTCTTTCTCTTTCTATCTCTTTTATTTAGATCGTTCTCTTTCTATTGCGTCTGAGGTTGACTCTTTCATCGCCATAATAAAAGTCTATGCGAACATGAAACTTGATACACCTTTTTCTTCTTGCCTTTTTTATATGTTTAATGCAACACATTTTCAACTTTCATCTATTACCATCATGGTTTTACTTTATTTTATCATTGACATGATTATCTTTTTCGTTTGTTGTATATACAGTTGTGGATAACTGTGTTTGAAGATACAGATTTGAGTATCGGCACAAGTATGTAGATGTTAGCATGAATTAAGCGAAGATAAACACTCACATTCAATTACTGTAGGATATATGTCAGAAGCACATGCGAGATCAAGTTGGAATAGATAATGTACGACGTAGACGTACACATTGAGAAAATTCAACCAGTAAGAAGTGTGATGCCGTGTTATGAGCAATCAATATGTATACGAATTTGAATGGTTGAAGACTCTCCACAGGAACAAATACGTTCAGTAAACGAAAATTTGAATTACATATTCATTTCGACCGAGTTTCTTCTTTCTTGCCTATTTACAAAGTACATACTACGAGCATACCCTCGAAGCATTTCATATCGAGATCGGAATATTGCACGTCACACTCTCTTTACCATCTGCCTCGAAATATCATCATTTGACTTTCTCAACTACGATCAGTTAACACTGTATTTAAGAAATTCATTCAAATCGCATTGATACACAATGTTAAAGCATACAATGTGTAGACTAGTTTTCATTCGAACTTGCGAAATATTTCAAAAGTTGCATACTCTCATGCAAATTTCTTTTTTACTATTTTCTAACTCTCGATGAGTTTTATCTACACTAAAAAAATGATTCTTTTTCAATGAAATATATTTGTGATCATACGCACCATTTCATTGGCTTTGCAGAAGATATCTGATGTTGCAAGTTTAATGAGTCTGCTGACTGATAGAACTATGAAGAATACCTTTAATTACTGTTACGAGATGAGAATAGTTTACTGTTAACGAGAGAAGCTTAAGTTCTATGGAACAAATTACTTCCAAAGCCGTTTTCAAATAGAATCAATTAATGTGCCAACAATCTGCCGTGCTTTCGACAACATTTTTTCATGATGTTTTTTTTTAGCATGATTAGATAGAGTACATCCATTTGTATCGGAAATCCAGTTTGCTGTTTCTTTTTACAATAAGAATTGATAGGAAGAATTTCGAAAATGTTCGAATTGTGTACCCTGTTAGGAAAGTGTTGTTCTTGGGCTCACAAATGACTGAATACGCCATCCTGGTAGTTAGTAACGTAATTTTCTCAGTGTGATAGCACATTTCATCGGACAATCGACGTAAGTATAGAGCTGAGGGCATATGGTAGCCGAATATGAAAATTAATTATCTGCTATTGTCGTGCAATGTAGTTAATTGCTTGATATGTTCATTGAGCCGGTTAAAAAAGGAAGCCAAAGGAAATAGTGTGTGACTATAAACATACAGCATTGTTGCGCATTAAGAACTATAACATGAATCTCATTATATGATAATGCAAACTACTTTAAGCAATGAAAGACTTCAGGCAGAATAACGCAATAAAACATTTTATTCATTGATTTGCACGAAATAAATAAATATATATATATAAGTTGCATTGCTATTTACTTACATTCATTATTTTGAAAAAAATTGACGACACGAGAAGTAAGCATGTATGACAAAGAAGAAGCCTCTGAATAAAGATGCTGCTTCGGTTCATACTTAAGTTTTTTTTTTCTATCTCAGAACAACTATCGACAAATGAATAAGAAACAAAATTTCGTCCACAATTGGTAAGTATTCAATACATATTCTTTATTGTATCCTAGATTTTCGCCAGTCGATTTTTCTAGTCGAATTCATTCGAGAGAGAACTCCAATGTTTTTTTTTTGTTCAACATCAGTACGGGAAAACTAAATCTGATAAAGAACTTTCCACGAACGTTCTAACTTTTTCAATATGTTCGACTCATGTAATTTATACTCCGACAGGCAATAGAGTTTAAGAAGACTTGTGAGAATTAAATTTAAACTGGAAGAGAAATCGATAGGATTCTACTGTCAAACTTCATCCTACTAGAAATACAATACTTATTTTCTCATTTATCTGCATATGCAGTTTCATTGAATGAAGAGATATATTGTATCTTCATGAGAACCGTCATGCATAATGTCTTATTGTTTATAGTTATTCTAGCAAAAATCGATGTGTGCGTCAATTGTTGTTCTCTTACTAATTATAGAAACGAATTACGTAGTACTGTCATTTGCAGCGATACTTTAGAAGTTAGTAGCATAAAGATAATAATGACCGCTGCTCTTCTAATCGGAGCTATCTAAAGATATATAATTAATCATGGTGTAAATAAATTGTTCGCTCGTGCGCCACTGTTTTATCGTGTTTGAGAAAAAAGTGTCTTGTTAACTATGACATTCATATTTAATCACGACATAAATTTGGTTCATTGTTAAATTCTTTACTTTGCTTTATTCAGGCCTATCTGTTGTTGTTTGTTTGTCTATCATTTATAATTTTTTTCGTATTTTTCTATCATATTTTGTCTTTACATTATTTCTAACATGCGTTTAAACTGAGAGTTACAACATCAACGTTAATGCTTGTCAAACTTATTTCAAATTAACTAAATACACGGTAATTATTAATTAACAGATTATACTCTAATCAAGAAAAAAATATATATCGTTAATTTTCCGTTTTAAAAACATGCATATCATTGTTTACGAAACAACAATAATAATAATAGAACTATTCAGAAAAATCAAAATTAAATTTTGTGGACACTTTTTATGATTGTAGGTCTATTCAGATCATATACTAAGTTGTCTAGTTAATAAAATAGATCTTTAGAATTTCAATACGTATGACATTCAAATATTATTGATGTATAAATCCAATTAAAACTATATCAATTAAGCTAATTTTAAAAAAGAACGTATCAAATACATACTATCTGAAAAACAGTAGGTTACCGGAGTACAAGTGATTTATAACTTTAGAATGTCATAGATAAAGTGCCGTTTTGATTTTTTATAAAGAATTTATTTTAATTCTTAGATTCATCTTTGCTTTCAATTCATTTTTAGTACTCATCTGTATCTTTAATATCCAGTCTTACCATTTTATGTTAAAATAAATACAGAGATTCATAATAAAACTACAAAAACTAGGGAAATAAATTAATGTTATCTGAATAGATCTACAATCATAAAAAGTATTACCAAAATATAATTTTGATTTTTTTAATTTTTTTTTGATCTTTTTTATGCGTAAACAATGATAAGTATATTTTTAAAATGAAAAATTAACTGGTACATATATATTTAGGATGGGCCATAAATAGCACTATGATAAAATATTGTAATCTTTTCGCTTAGGTTCGCTCGAATGAACTGATTTCTGCGTTAATTATAGAAACTTATTTAAAGTTTCTTTTCATGTGAATAATGTAAATAAATACTCCTGCCAAGCTATATGTTTGACATCACTAAAGAAATTTCAACTATTGTCAAGTAAGAAAAAGATATATAAAGCATTCTATGGATAATTTTTAGTTGTTATCTAAGAGAATAAGAAAGAAGAAATTGAAACGAACTTTATAAATGATACTATACTGATGTACATCGAGCAAGTTTTCAAAACTACTAGTAAGTTCAACAGTTGAAATTCGTGCCTCATTCGAGCCCTTTGGGCACTAACATCCGTGCAAACGCCATTGTTCCATGTTTGAAAATTCAAAATGTTGTAATCATTGACTTTTAAAGCAACTAGTTCTGAACATATGCTTTATTTTCATCAATATACTATCATATATAAAGTTCGTTTTGATTTTTTTCTCTTATTATTTTCTCAGATGACAACTGAAAATTATCTATGTAATACTTTATACGTATTTTTCTTATTTAATAGTAGATGAAATTTTTCTAGTCAGGCTAAAACTATAATTTGCTAGTAATATTTGTTTACGCTACTCATATGAAAAAAATCAACATATTTGAACGAATCAAAAGAGAGATATTTTAGTTTTTTAAGATAGTGTTATTTATGGTCCACCTAGTAGATCAAAATTGAATTATTGTTTTCTCTCAACTAATACTGAGAATCCTATAGATTTCTTAGTTTTCTCTAACCGTCGATATGCGTCAAGTTAAAATCATCTTTCAAATTAGATGGATTTGTCAAACAATGTTCAGTAATGAATTTGTATATATAATAAATAACACTTTTCAATTATGTTTTAATTTTTTCTTTCAAAAATTGAACTTCATAAAGTTACTTTTATGAAAATACACAATTTTCTTTCTTTTAAGATAGTTTACTAAGAAAATGGCATTGCCACCATATGCTGTGGATAATAAATACGTATTAAAAGATACGTCAAGCGATATCAAATGGCGACATGGTTTACCAGATTATTCAAAAACCATTGCTCTTTTTGCAAGAGACAGATCGACTAATCATGCACCAGGATCACTGGAAGAAATTGTGGAAAATGTTGTCAAGAATTGGGAAATAGGTGAGATTTCAACATTTGAAATAATTTTAAAAATCAGAGCTAACTTGTATGTAGAAGGCGATCGAAAAAATTTAGTCGTCATGAAATGTAATTTTTGCATTTAGAAAGATTCGGTTTTTAAGTCAATTTTTATTCGGAGCATATTCAATCATAAATGGGAACAAAAAAAGAAACTCATTAAATATGAAATCTGTTCTTGAACGAAATCAGTTTTTGCTATTCTCGATCTATTGTTAAAATTAAATAATTTAATGACGAAATAGTATTATGATTTGAAATTTGCAAGTTATATTTCTAGAAATTCACAACTTAAGAATGCGTAAAAAATATCGATACAATACTAGTAGCCTATATTTTTGTTACATAAAATGGTGTCCAATTTGATTATTTCATCAGTTAAATCAATTTTAATTATAATTAATTGTATACGGTAGACAGAGTGTTTCAATGGCTATAACAATATTTGTAACTTGTTGATAAATAAGTCTTGGTTTTACAATTACAAGAAAGAATAATAGAATAAAGAAGCATATAGAACAGCAATTAGTACGAAACTTAAAAATTTCTGTGATAACGAAAAATAATCTTCAAATACTCATCCTTTTTAGATCGAAGTTTTCCTGCAGTGAATGTACTATGTAATAACTCTATAATTACACTAAAATTCAAATCAAAAGTACTTGCTAGTGAGAGATCTTGTTTTCTTTCTGATGAAATATATACCGTTTCAGTACATACTTTATATAAAATAAGTTTATTGTTTGTTTTCATTTACAATAGAATACTTAAATAAATATCTCTATCCCTTAGGTTCTTTTCCAGCTCCTATCTATCAAAAAACGAATTGGACAAAACAGTGAATTTTAGAGGAACAAAAATAATATCGTAGAAAGAGTGGAAGTTTTTTTTGATCACTCTGTAATTTAATGCAATCGTATAAAATATAAAATTTGAAAACATACTATCCCAGTTCATGACTTCAATGTCGACATATTGTGTTTTTTCTTTTACTTTTACCTCATCGATAATTTCATTATTGTATTTCAAATCATATCAAAATTGACTGAAGTAGCTTGAGAGATGCTTAATTTAGTGCATTGACATTCCACATAACGGAAATGAAACCTTAATATTCCTATTTACTGTATCCATTCAGTAAGTTTTAGAAGTATGAACACATCATGTAGCGATCACCCATGGTCAACAAATAAGCTGATACTATCTTAGTATTCATCTCAAAATGTGAAAGTTGAAACTTCTAGATTTGCTGCAATGGCGGATATAACTCAGACCTCATTGATCATATTGCACTCTTATTAGCATAACCAGAGCTTTAACAGCACCCAGTGAATGATTAGATTAACAAAAAAAGTGAAAATTAACTGTAAGCACACCCTCTACTTAAAATGACTCAATACACTTTTCCAATGACTTTGGATGAGAATATCTTACTAAGAAGCCACAGAATAGTCTTGAACTCTATTCGGAACCAACTAATACAAACACATCAGTCAATGTGAATTCTTTCTAAGAAACACGAATAGTCATCGAAAATATTTCACTATTTTCGTTTTCTCCAATAGTTATTCGTAGTATTCTCTGAAAAGTAATAATTAATCTACATAATTATAGAATCTTAAGAACACCTTTTTTCTCCAAAGCTATCCACCAAAGCCAAGAACATAGAAAAGAGACGATTGATTTCAATAATCCAATACCTTGATAGAGTATTTAAATCTTAAGTAGATTAATTCATCTAGAACTTGCCAATAGGCAGTTCTGAGTCCGCTTTCATGTAAAAATAAACTGCTTTCTTAAGTAAAATCAAAGAATTGTTATTTTGTGAAACTCATATAATATTGTTTGAAGAAAAAATAAAGTGAGTGTGAGTTTTAGGTTGAAGTTTGTGACTTTCATCCTCATAGCAATGCCAAGGGGAGAAAAAGACCAACGATCATAGGCTAAGTTTCTTTAGTGACCAATAACAACAGATGTTACACGCCTTTTCGAGAGTTCCTCATCACCAAATAAGGTGCTGAACAGCAATAGCAACAAGATTTAGGCTGTTCTGGAAAACTCTAGAACATTCCAAAGTCTTTCTCGAAATAATATTGGCTGAAATACGTTTGTGAGTGTTCTATATTTTGATAATAGGTGGTGATCTGTTAGTTTGCCACAGTCATCAAATGATCAACATAAAAAGCATGAACTAATCAAGTTACATACTTTGGGAAATAATCAATATCGCTATTTGTGAGTTTATCGAAATATATAACAGTGCATTGAGACATGTTGCAGATATAATGAGTATATACAGTAGGCTTATTTATCAATGAAATCAATGGTTAAAATAATAGTAGTGTTAAATTAAGCCCTGCCCGTTCTCTTTTTGATATAAACGTATGAATATGTTGTTCGAACTGCTTAGTATACGAATTTATAAAAATAGTTTTGATTCTCGACGGTTTTTTAGGCTTTTACGAATGATCTTTTGAAACTATATGGACAAATAATGGTGTCTAAAGCAATTAATAAATTTTTTTTTTGCAAAGTTGTATCTGAAAAATAAAGAAAATATTTCTCCGAGGTAATCAAATTTTGCACATCTTAGAAAGACATTTTAAAGGCTTTCAATGGCTTGAGGGCATAGGTATGAGTCTTCTCTTCATGCACAGCCTCATCCTCAAAGTAAATATTTTATATGAAATAAAATATCACATTTCTTATGTGTTACTAGGAAAAACTAACTATCATTATCAGCCTCTAAAAAATTTGTAAGGCAACCAGCGAACAAAAAAAGATTGATTTGCTATTCTTCTGTCTGTAGTTATGTATCTCATACAAAGACAATCTAATCTATGTAGATAAGTCCTTCGATTGACATGTAATATATTGATGCATTACCTTCATTTTAAGTAATAATAGGAAGACTATCTAAAATAAAAACTTCTTTCGCATGTTTTTCAATATAGTTTATTCGAAAGAGCTGCGTATTTTTCTATCGATAGATATATGCATAGTCCTTCCGAGGAGGAAAAGAAGTTTTCTAATTAATCATCAATACTAGATAAATCCTGAGTTTTTCAGAAAGCGACCATACCTAGAAACTCCAGACATTTGAACTTAACATGATCTGTAAAATGAAAGAGAGTAATAATTTGAAAAAAACATTTTCTCACATCTGAAGTCGTACAGAGTTCTCTTTCAAATGAAAGCAATCTGAGTTCTGCAGCTTGTTGTCTGGAGATTTTTATTAATGTGCTTCTATGAATCAAACATCTATGCAAAGCTTCATCAATATCGCGTGAACTCTGTCGAAATACGATTTTTGGGAAGATTCTTACTGATTATGAGAAACTTTTGTCTGTATAGAATTCGATAGAGAGTCTACTTAAATGCGGATTTGTTTGCATTAGCGAAACATGGATGCCTTACGTTTTGGAAAAATGGAATAGCTAAAATATTTGTTTTTATTCATTTTCTTTCAAATGAAAACTTAAAATTATTGTAGAAGTTAGTCATAAATTGGATCCTCAACAATGGGAAACAGTCGATGTGGATAACTATCGCTTTTCATGTAACGGTCAACACAAGTTCACGGCTGATGATTTAGTTAAACTGGGTACTTACAATGCATTAATCGGGAAAACAACATACTACAACGCATCTATGTTGACACTTGCAGAATCTCAAATGGCATTTCTAAGAGCTTTTGGAGAAGGTTTTGCTTGGGAATTAATTGAATTGTATTCGGGTCCACCAAATGTTACTTTTAAATGGCGTCATTTTGGTCGAATGACCGGCTGCTTTTCATGTCCATCTTTTTCAGGTTATGTCTACAAAGCGGAGCCGACGAATAAAATGGTAAGTATATATGGAATATGCAAGGCTACAGTGACATCAGAGTTGAAGATTCAAGATTTACAAGCCTTCTTTGATATCAATCAATTGTTTGCTCAATTTACAGAACTGTGTCCGTTAGCCCCATTTGCTAATTTATCAGGTTTGGCAAGCTCACCAACAGAAAAAATAATCAGTGAATCATTAATCAATAACGCAGGTTCATCTCTCAATAAACCAAATCCAGCTATGAACCATGAAGATTCCCAAGTAAATAGACAATCAGCGACGTGTACCATTATTTGACTGTTCTACTAACTATTCATATAAAATGATTTTTCTTCTGCTAATTCAATCTGTGAACTCTCAAAAAACTATTCAATAATAAACTGAAAATCTATACTTATTACAAACAATGCATGAAACATAAATATAAGTATTCTCTGCGTCACAGGTACTGTCTTGCTTATTCTTGTGAACTATTTACGAAAAGTTTCCTACACGTATTGGTGAGAGTGAAGAAAAATCATTGTCCCCAGGCAAACCTACACAATTATTAAGTCGAAGCTCTATTCGCTGAACAGACTGTAACCTGTAAGTGACAAAATATTGATAAAATCAGTTGGGCAAACAATATGATGCTCGTTCTAACACACCAGTCTGGAAAAATGCTTGTTTATTGATTCTTTTTCTATGAAAAAAATGAAAAGAAATAGGATCAAATATCCTCCTACTACGAGTTTTGAGCTTGATTTTCTCAATTTTTTTTTGATTAACGCATTTTTCATTGACGGAATTCATTATCGATCATGAGATTGTGCATATCATACCAAATGTGCATTTAATTTTGAACAATGATACAATTTGAATTGTTCATTATGTGAGCATGGATCGTCACCGAGCCATGGTTGAGAAGTGAATGGCCTGTCACTGATAAAAGAAGTGGCTGTCCGAATAGTAAAATTAGCATCTGGATCATGTCGAATTTTTGGCTTGAAAACAATGAACACATTGTCATAGTAATGCCTTAAGTGTAGTTCAACAATACTGATAACTGTTTTGCCCGTTTCGAGATCTTTGTCTTTATCGTAATCAATGCTAGATGAATTCGTATGAAGCTTGATTGAAGCTTCAGCAACCTTCATGGATTTGGTTCATATAACATTTAGATCTGCCAGATTTAATATACTCTAAAGATACGCTTCATCTTTCGCGATCACACATGAGTACATCAAAGAATCACAGAAACTCGCATGTGACAATGATGAGATTCTTTTCATTGAAGTAGACATCTTGGCTTTCGGATGACTAAATCCTGTGTCTTCAAAGTAACAGCTGACCAAAGCAGTAATAAATTATTTTGCTTTGCTATAAACAATTGATTCTAGTAACTCTTTGGTACGTTGTATTCGACTGTGTTGCAGAATAGAATTAAAAACGAACGTTGGATATTTTAATTTTTCCATGTAAGCTCTACTCATGACAGGTGTGGGTGTAGACCAAGATATAAAACTCACACCCACACCCACATACCCTTATAAAAAACGATCATGTAGAGTGCATGGGTTCTTGCTAGTATGATATTTATTTTTGAATAAATAGCATTTTGTAGACATTTGGAAAAAGAGTGATGAAGAGGCGACATCAATATACTTTTCAGTAAAACCAACTTAATACTCTCTAAAAAAAACAGTATTCTCGGAAACCAAGGGAGAAAGGTTTCCGAGTGTTCGGAAACCCATTTCTTGCCCTCGAGAACCCTTTTATCGGTTTCCGAAAGCTCGGAAACCCATTTTTTACCCTCGGAAACCCTTAAAACGTT